TTTTTTTTTTTTTTTTTTTTTTTGCTGGACAGATACTAAAACAGATGGGCGGCTGCTTCACTACTTTCCTGGGTGTGTGTCACCTTGTGCATATCATTTCATCTCTCTGGGCATCAGTTTCCTCTTCTGATTAATGCAGCGAATGATAGCGCCATCCCCTGAGGTTTTTGTGTGGATTAAGTGAGCTGGTGTGAAGTGCTTAACAATCCCAGATGCTTAATGAGGGGTGATGACAGTAATGTGTCACCAAGCAAGGACTCTTGTGTCCATGGTGCAGAAAGCCAAACTCTAAAGTTGGGTGTTGGCAACAAAGTAGAGTTTATTTGTAGGGGTAGCAGCTCATGCTCAAAAGACACAAATAAACTGATGGCTTTCTAGCAAGGGTTTTTAAAGACAGTGTTAGGCAAGAGTGTCTAGAATGCTTATAGACTTTCTTTTGATTGGTTGGTGGGGTAACAGGGTGATGTTTCTGAAATTTTAACCTTCTGGTTCCAACCAGTCTGGAATCTTGTGCTTGTGGTCAGCATGTAGTCACCACCCTCCACCTGAGTTGAGGGGTGTCTTCATATACATCAGATTGTTTATCTACATTCCTACAGAATCTGGTGACTCTGCTGTCTTAATCATTAACTGCTTGAGCCTGCTCTTTGGAACTCAACAGAGGCCTCAGAGGCTAAAGCCTTTTTTTTTTTTTTACCCCCTACAAATAAACAAGGGAACATGGCAGGGTTTTTCTATCCTGGAAGGCCCCAGTCCTGGTTGGTTTCAGTCTCCCCTATTCTTTGATAGTCCTCAATCCTGACGGGAACAAGGGCTGGACAGAAAGAGAATAAATTTTTCAATAGTGAGATTAATCACAATTTGGTACAAGAACTCCATTTTAGGGGGATTTGGTTTCCAACGGAATGATGGTGGTGGTGCTGATGACAAGCAAAACTGAAGGTGCTTCAGAATGAAATGTCAGCGATCACAGCAGGTGGCTTGTAGAACGTCCCGTCTTATTCCCCAAGGACAGGGCTGGGTCCTTTGGGCCAGATAAAATACAAGTCCCCACTTAAACTGTTGTTTCAGATAAACAACTACAAAGATTTAAGTACAGTGTCTTGCAAATTACATACGACATACTTATCATTCATTGCTTATCTGAAATTTCAGTTTAACTGGGTGTCCTGTAATCTTGGGATTCCCCGGTGGCTCAAAGGGAAGAAGAAACCGCCTGGAATGCGGGAGACCTGGGTTCACTTCCACTTGTTATACCCGGAACCCCCACCTTTAGCGAAGGGCTGCCCCCACGCCTGAGCCCAAATTCACTCCCTCTGCCCAAGCATGCGACTGGCAAGTGGCCTCCACTCGCCAGGAGCCCCAGTCGATTCCAGAGGGGCCGCTCACGTTTCCGCCCCGCTCAGACAGCACTAGTGGCGCCCCGAGCGACCGAGTCCTGTGCGCCCGCCGGCCCGGCCCCGCCCCGCCCCCAAACAGAGGGCGCAGCCCCCAGCCGGGCAGGCCCCACCCGGCGCTTGGGCAGTTAGGAGTCTCGCAGCTCCTTGCTACGCCGCGGACTCAGTGAAGGCCAAAATACTCGTTCGCCATGTCGGCTGCAGAGGCGGGGGGTGTTTTCCACAGAGCGCGGGGCAGGACCCTGGACGCCTTTTCCTCAGGTACTTCCTGCTGGGGAGTGGGTGGTTTCAGGGCTGCGGAACATTCGGCGCGGGGAACGTTAGGTTGGGATGCACACCTCCAGCCGGACCCCAGTGGGGGCTGCACCCCGGGGGCTGGGGACCGCAATAGCAACCGCACCTCCCGCACGTGGGGCTTCCAGGGGCGCCTGTGAGAGAGGCGTTCCTGGGCTTGGGGGTCCGACAGTCGTGGAACCTCGTTGGCCTTGACCGAGGTCTCGGAGAGAAGATAAAAGTGAGGCAGCAAAACAGTTGATAGCGCGGGCTGTGCAGCTAGACTTGCTTTCTAAGTCCTGCCTTGGATACGTGGCTCAGGGAGTGTTAGCCTCAGTTTCCCTATCTGTAAAGCGGGAATAAAACAGCGAGGTTCTGTGTGGCACGGGATAAGCGCTGGGTGCACGTGCGATGCGGTTATTTTTATTATGGTTGTTGACCATGATGCAGTTTTATACTCCATAATCATGGTTATCTTCTACAATATGAGTCATTCACCCAAATGTTAGCAGTGCCTTCAGAGCTAAGAGAGCGGGGAGGCAGTCAAGAGTTGCGTTCTAGTTACCTGCTTGGACTTTGGAGTTAGCTAATTCGCCTCGCTGTGAGAATTGGGTTTGTTAATGCTTACCTCACAGGAGAGAGTTAGCAGGTTCAAAGAATTTCTGTAACCCGGTTCCTGACACAGGCCAAGTGCTGAGTGAATGTTCACTCCGGAGCCCCAAGAGAGACCACTGTTCCCCGTTCCTTGCTCCTCCCTGCCAGTTTTGCTGCATGGAGTCACCTTCCCTCCCATGAACTCGCCGGTTTTTGTCACCCTGGGGAAGTCACCCCAGATGCCCTGTACAATCCGGCTTGTGCTCACCTTTATTGCTTCACGCTCGCCATTCTTCTTGTTCAATTCTGCTTCACTGGGCTTCTTGAACTCGTATTTTAAAAGGCCAGGTCCTTTCTCTCTGTGGTGGTTTAGTTGCTAAGTCGTCTCCGACTCTTGCAACCCCATGGACTGTAGCCTGCAAGGCTCCTCTGTCCATGGGATTTTCCAGGCAAGAATACTGGAGTGGATTGCCATTTCCTTCTCGAGGGGATCTTCCCGACTCAGGAATTGGACCCAGGTCTCCTGCATTGCAGGCAGATTCTTTACAAACTGAGCTAATAGCTGGCTGATGGGTCTGGCTCTTTCTCAAACCTTCCTACCTTAATTAAAGTTTGATCACTTTCTCAGACAAATTTTCCCTTGGTTACGGTTACTAAAGTAGGTGTTTTTGTGTTTTTTTTTTTTTCCCTGTAACTCTCTGGTTTAAAGTTTTGTTCTTTTATCTTCTGCAACTGTTGGTGGGAGAGTAGGGAAGGAGGCAGGGCTCTGGAAGAACGTATGGGGCCGGAGAGCTGGTTGAGGTGGATTTTAAAATACAACCTGTTATAGTGCCCATTCTCTAAATATTGTTTTAATGTGCCTTTTTCACTTTTTTGAACCCAAGTTCATGTGCGTGATGCACAGTGAGGCCAAACAAACCAAAATATCAGAGTTTGGAGCCGAGGAGGGTTTATGGCAGGGCCAAGCTAGGAGAGCAGGTGACTCATGCTCAGAAGACTCCAGGTCCCGCTGGTTTTCAGGGAAGAGGTTTTGGTTCTTTTTAAAGTTTTTTTTCTTTCTTTTTTTTTTTAACGTGGACGATTTTTTGGCTGGGAGGCATGTGGAATCTCAGCTCCCTGACCAGGGATTGTAAGGGCGAGTCTTAACCACTGGACTGCTAGGGAAGTCCCTCTGGGAAGAGTATTTAAAGGCAGCAGTTGGGGAGACAACTGCAGGGTGAACAACTTTCTTCTGATTGGTTTCTGGTAAGGTAACAGGGTAGGGCCCCAGGAATCTCAGGCCTCAGCCTCTAGTTCTGACCAGTCTTGGGGGTTTCACCATGTTAGTTATCATCCTCTACCTGGCGGGTGGGGAGGGCTGCAGAACTCAAAAGACTGGATCAGATTTTTATGCGCCTCCCTTGTGGAGGGACTGGGACTCTGTTTTATCCCATCACTATTGTTTCTTGACTTTTCCCTTCGTTTCTGCATTCCCTCAAGTCCCTCATTATTAACCCCTTGAATCTGTTCTTGGGAACTCAGGGAAGGTCTGGGAGACGAAAGCCTTTTCTTCAAACAAGAAATGAGGGACACAGGCTTTCGTTTTCTGGAGGACCCCTCAGGTTCCTTCTCTGTTTCAATCCAGTGTGAGGTTTTTGAGATTTATCCATGTTGGTATAAGTAGCTCTTTAAGAATTTTCCACAGTTCATTGCTCATTTTCTTACTGGGCAGTATTCCATTATATAAGCATATATCAATACTTGATACATTCTGTTGCTAGATATTCTGAGGATCTTCTCTTGGCTTTCCAAATCTACACTCTCCCTTCCCCACCAAAATCTGAAAGATTGACCTCCATGGGCTTCATCCATGGGCTCCTTGCCCTTGGGCCTTCTGTTGGGTTGAGCCAATGGGGCATCCCATTTGGAGACCAGAGGGATGGGAAAGCTAAAGTGTTTATTCCCCTGACTTTTTCGCTGTGGAGCTGCCTCTGGCTGGCTGTGCAGTTCAGTCACTCAGTCGTGTCTGACTCTTTGCGACCCCATGGACTCAGCACACCAGGCTTNATGGGACCTGAAGCCATGATCTTAGTTTTTTGAATGTTGAGTTTTAAGCCAAGTTTTTCATGCTCCTCTTTCCCTGGCTGTACTCCTCCCCTGAAATTTGCTGCTTCTTTCAACATGGCCTTTCTGCTGGAACTCTCGTTTCAGATTTGGGTAACCGCTTCCTCCCTCCTTTCAGACGGAGTTCTGCTTTTCTGTGTTGGACTACTAAACTGTCCTTTGATGTTCTACACTCAACTCATCCCAAATAATCCCCCTTTAAATGCTCCTTTAATTGTCATAATTTGAATATGCCAGCTATTTCCTGCAAGGATCCTGATATGATGGACATTCAGTTCTTTCTGTTTTTCAACTTTGGTAACAGTGCTGTTATGAGCATTCTGGTACAAGTCTTCTTGTGGACACATGGGAAAATTTCTCCAAGGCATCCATCCAGGAGAGCAGAGTTGTGGGTTGCAGGATAAAATTTTTCCAGCTTTACTAGATCGTGTCACATTGCCTTCTAGAATACTTGCACCAACTTATATTCCCACTAGCAGGGTATAAGAGTTCCCTGTGACTCTGCCCTGTCTCTTTTCAGTTCAGGAAATATTTATTGCAGTCCTACTGCATTCTCTGGTATCTTGTGGAGAGTAGAAAAAAGCAAAGGGAAGGCAAGGACCCATAACCTAAGCACAAAGCTACGGCACAAAAAATAGGTCACTGCAGTGGGAGTTGGGATTTTAAGCATTGGTCCTGGGTGTTGGTGAGGCTCATAACATAAATCGGGGAGCAAGGAGGAGGGTCAGATATGATGGGATTGATTGGGAAGTGGTGGCTTCGAAGTGCCTTCAGGAAATATGGGGCAACCTGGAGGATGCAGTGCACAGCTAGGGATGGAGGTGTGGGTGCTGCCATCCCCAGAGAGGCAAGTAGATGGTATGGCTGTAGGAGTCAGTGGCATTGCTCAGGGGAAAAGTGTGGAGTAGTGGATGGTGTGTGTGTGTGTGTGTGTGTGTGTGTGTGTGTGTGTAAGCTTAGGATATGCCTCCGTTTAGGGGGTAAGAAACAGGAAAAGACACACGGAAGGTCTCTGAGCAGGAAGCAAGCAGACATTTTGGAAGATAACCCAAGAACCGGCCTTGGTACCAAAGTTGGGGAGGGGGACTCAGGCAGGGTGGTGCACAGGCTCAGATGCTGCAGACATCTAGGTGAGTGGTAGCTGAGCAGGTGTGATTGTTCTGTCACCTTCGAGAGGACAGTTTCAGTAGAGTTGTAGGGGGAAGCTGGGGGGCATGGTGCTTGAGGAATGGCAGAGAGTGAGGATGTGCAGTCCGCAAGCATAGGATTCTGTTTGAAGCCCTTCGGTGCTGCAAGGTTGACGTAGGACACTAGCAGTTTGAGGAAGGAGCAAGGCTGCTGGAAGACTGAAGGGTTTGCAACAGTAGTACAGATGGTAAGAACAATAGGAGCATATAACATCTATCAGCTGTTTATGTCTTGCCAGGCACTGTATTCTGTGAGGCCTTGGTACCAAAGTTGGGGAGGGGGACTCAGGCAGGGTGGTGCACAGGCTCAGATGCTGCAGACATCTAGGTGAGTGGTAGCTGAGCAGGTGTGATTGTTCTGTCACCTTTGGGAGGACAGCTTCAGTAGAGTTGTAGGGGGAAGCCAGGGGGCATGGTGCTTGAGGAATGGCAGAGAGTGAGGATGTGCAGTCCGCAAGCATAGGATTCTGTTTGAAGCCCTTCGGTGCTGCAAGGTTGACGTAGGACACTAGCAGTTTGAGGAAGGAGCAAGGCTGCTGGAAGACTGAAGGGTTTGCAACAGTAGTACAGATGGTAAGAACAATAGGAGCATATAACATCTATCAGCTGTTTATGTCTTGCCAGGCACTGTATTCTGTGCTGTGTGTGGACTGTCTCAAGTGAAAGAAAGTGAAAGTTGCTCAGTTGTGTCCAACTCTTTGTGACCCCACCCCATGACTGACTGTTTGGTCCATGGAACTCTGCAGGCCAGACTACTGGAGTGGGTAGCCGTTCCCTTCTCCGGGAGATCTTCCCAGCCCGGGGATCAAACCCAGGTCTCCCGCATTGCAGGCAGATTCTTTACCAGCTGAGCCACAAGGGAAGCCTATGGACTATCTCTTGTGATCTTCAAAACAGTCCTGTTGAACTAGCTATTATGATTATCTTCTTTCTATAGTGGGGAGAAAGTCAATCTCAGAAAGGCTGGGCAACTTGCCCAAGGTCACGTGATTGGTCTGAGATGTATCTGGGGTTGAAAAATGCAAAAGGCAGGTTCATTGGTTGGAGAGCAGTACCTGAGGAGATGGGAAAAGATGGGATTGAGGGCTCAGAAGAGGGCTTGGC